TTATCTTACTGTCAGGTGCTAGTGGGTATATTCAGATAAACAAAGGATCTAGAGATTCTAAGAAGTAGAAAATGTCCTCAGAATCAGGAACTGAACTAATGTCATAGTTTCAAGAGTAGATAATCTTCAAATCCTTTTCAGAACAATATAATATATTGCTATTAAAATTATATATAAAAATGAGAAAGATTGGATGGAATTAGGATGCACCATCTCATAAATACCCATAATTTTTAATTTAATTCCCTCTGCAGTAAAAGTTGAACTGAACTTTTACTCTGGGCACCATCTAACTGACTAGCCCAACAGATTTTACTCTGCAGAATTTGCAGAATCTTGACAGTGTAGCACCTGGTAAACCATACAAACATGGCAACCTGACGTGTTTGGGAAGCGATTTAATAAATGCCACGGGGTCATCAAATTCCCAAATGTTTGCTTGGAACTCTAGTTTTCTCAAATAGGAGGAAATATTCTTAGTTAAGAGCACACAGAATCACAGAGTGGGTAAGGCTGGAAGGGACCACGGTGTTTCGTTTGGTCCAACCTCCCTGCTGAAGCAGAGTCATTCTGGAGAACACTGCACCATGTTAATGACCACGTGATGTGATTTCAAACCCTATTGCTACATTCATTTGCTATGTCTCTTTATTGATGTATCAGATTAAATTAGCAAAGATTATTTCATGTTGTTTGGGATTTTTTTCATCACTTGCAGTGAGTGAGCAGGGTACTGGATGACAAAACAAGAACTGTGTTAAGAGACTCAGAACAGTTTTTTTAAAATAAAACTAGTATTTCAGGCTTCAGTAGAGAGATCCTTCACTTTCAGTGAGAGATTTAAATATGTTAGGTATATCAGAAGATAATTTGTCACCATCTCTCCATCAGGTTTTGATCATCTGTTACACAGATGTCGCTCTAGTAATCAAAAAGAGGAAAATATTTATTTGTTAAAGGTGCTTTTTGAGTATTTCAAGTATCATTCTTTAGTATGAACATTTTTATAAAACTGATTAGTTTCCCCACTGGGGTAAAAGCTGAACTTCCTTCTTCTTAAAAGCCAGTATTGGATACCAGTATATGAAGTGAGAATTTGCTTTGTTTAATTTGATCAAAGCAATACTGTAAACAATGGAAAATTAAAAGGAGATTGCAGCAATTGCAATATAAGGTAGTGTAATCATTTTTAGGAGTTCAAATCACATAAAGGTGGGAGTAATGTGCATTTTTGAGAGAGAACTGGTGTGAAGGGCAAAATTCTTTTTGAGAGTTCACTTTTAAGAGGGTTCCTTTTTGTTTTTCTGATGCATGTTTGTAATGTGTCAGGGTCTTTAACGATGTTTTTTCCTTTGAACAGCTTTTAGTCCTCTTAGCTTTGAGTCTTATTTTTAGGAGAGATATCTTTGATGTTGCTTTTAACAGGGTAGAGAACACTAAAGTTTTCTTACTGCAAACTTCTGGAAACAGTACTTTTAAGGCAACTAGTGCTGAAGGTTTTCAGTATCCTTTTACTAACATTTCCACCAAGTTTCGTATTTTAAAATAAAAGCGGTCTGTGTAAAAATCTCTTTGTGTATATGCTCAGAGCTCTTAGTTTCCTTATTGTTGTGATTGAGCTTTGCCTGTGAGCTAGTCCTAAAGGGAGCAATTCAATCTAAAAAACCTCTTATTTTGCAACAAAGGCACAAACTGCTATTTTTGTGCCTTGCAAATCATCCCTAATATCTACTCGCACTAGGCAGGATGTCAGTTCTGGGGTATTTTTGCTTCCAGCAGAAGCACTGAAGTAACCTTCATTATGTGTGTCCGAGAAGGAGGAAAGAAGGTGTAGATTGCTTCTGCCATCATTTGAATACGAGAAATGTAACAATTTCTGTTCTTAGTTGAGCTGTTAAATTATTCCTTCAGCAAGACAGTAGTTTGAGGGCACAACAGAATCTTTAACACAGCTGGTAATTTCTGATCCTGTTGTGGCGTACATTGATGACCTTCAGGGGCTTCATATTGTGAGGGCTGAGTGATGGAAGTTTTCTTATTGGTCACTGTTATATTAAGATTTATAATACAAAATGATGGTATTACAACTCTTTATCCAAAAAAAGCCCAGAGCACCCTGTCTTGTATACTGGAGCATATTGAAATATAGTGGAACTTACTGTTTTTTCAGGACAGATGGAAGTTTTGTGGTTCACGATGTACCTTCAGGATCTTATGTAGTGGAAGTTATATCCCCTGCTCATAAATTTGAGCCTGTGCGAGTTGACATAACTTCAAAAGGCAAAATGAGGTGAGTCTTTCCTGATCTGCTTCTGTATTGAATGCTGTCACATCTGACAGCACAGTATAAGAACTAATGTAAATAGTGCTGTAGGTCTGATGTTCTGTTTCAGACCATATGTTTTGCATCTTTTAACATCACTTTTAGGAGCACATTTCTTAAATTCCAAAATCTGATATCTTTTTTCCCTTCAGATTTATGGCCCTAAATTAGAGAAAATTAATTCAAGAGTGTCTATTTGTTTACTTTTCTTTTCTTATGCAGCTATCCTGAAATCAACTCTAATCATAAATCTGTTAACTGCTTCATCATTTGCCAATACCTTTTTTCCTGCTTCGCTTTTTCATTTCTTTCTTTATAAATATTCTGTCAGGACCTGGCACAATGAAATTCTATCTCAATATAATTCTAAATTCTGAAATATTTCTTTACACTTCCATAGGACGCTAGTTACTGGTTATTACTAGTAGTTGCCACTATGTCTGTGGCATCCTTAGTTTGTTTTTTTTTATGTTATAGCTAAATACATTATCACAAAACACTCTTAAATGCACACCTGTAACTGCAAACTGTTCAGTAGGTAGTACAGAAATGTGGCTATCCTGTCTAGTATAGAGTAATAAAACCAGATTCAGTATTGATAAATGCAAAGTATTGCACTTAGAGAAAAGGTAGTATTAACTTCACATGTGAATAATTGTTGTCCTGAGCAAACTGATTAAACTGCACTACACTGTTCAAAGCTGTACCCTCTCTTTAAACAGTGTAGTCTTTCTTGCTCATTAGCACAGAGACAAAAAAATGTTTTGGTTTTGATTCCATAAAGCACACTGCTGAGAGAAATTAGCTTCTGAAAAGTGAAGCCTAGCTGACGCTGCATAGCAGATGGTTGTTTTGTAGCCTGTTAGTAAAACTGGTATATTTTAAAATAATCGTTTTATTTTGTTAAAGATTCTTTGATTATATTTTCAATTATTTACATTTTGCTTGTTAGAGCAAGATACGTGAATTACATCAAACCCTCTGAAGTTGTCAGGCTGCCATACCCTCTCCAGATGAAATCTTCTGGACCACCTTCATACTTCATAAAGAGAGAATCTTGGGGATGGACAGATTTCCTCATGAACCCTATGGTATGTACAAGCAACACACAAATCCAAATACAGCTGTTCTTCAGAATACCAAGAATAAAATAACTGAGGAAGAATGTGCACACTCTGTTTTTCTGAGAGGATTGTTTCATTTCTGGTTTTCACTTCCTTACAAACAGAAAGTTTTTTCTATGACTTCTCCCCTATATATCCACTCCTTTAATGTATGTCCTCTAAAATAGCCCATAGTCTGGTTCCTTTGACAACATGATGCTGATCTAATAGTGTGGAGATCAACGTGTTGCAAAATTGTAATTACAACAGTTATAACAGATAACAACATTTGCTTTATTGGTTCACCTTTGAAATCTATTATTTTAAGCATAATACTTCCTTATTAGGTTTCTTTCCTGACCAGTGGATTACTGTTCCTGGGTGCCTGACTTGGAATACAGTGCTTCTAGAATTTAGCTTTTTGGTAAAACTTTATGTTAGTTTTGTTTGGACCAAATGTCAGGAGCAAGGGGTAAGCTGAAGAAGTATTTTCTGTTTTCTGTGCAGGTGATGATGATGGTTCTTCCGTTACTGATATTTGTGCTCTTGCCTAAAGTTGTCAACACCAGTGATCCTGATATGAGGCGGGTAAGTATGTTCAATTGATGCACACATAGAGACCAAAGATAATGAGCTTTTAAGGTACAGGAAAGTAAAAAAAAACAAAACTGAACTTTTAAAGAAGTCTCAATGGGCATCATTTATTCAGTTAATACAGTGTTGCTGTTCTAACAATGAGTTCTAACATTTTAGACTCACTAATTTGCTGTTAAACAGCACAACACAGAATTAAATTGTTTCCACAACTCTGAAAGAGTTACAGTATGAATGGTGTTTTCCAGCATTTCTTTAGAGTGATTAATATAATTTCTCAAAGGCTGTTTCTTAAATTTCCAATATATTTCTGCACTATGTTTAAATCTAGCAGATTATTTTTAGACATCATTTAATAAGTGTCAAGGATGTTGCAAAGAGCATGATGTGGGGTTCCCTTTTCCATCAGCCTAAAGCACAGTTCACTGCACTGTTAAATCCAGATGTCACAGTAGTGTGTATGATAAGGAGTCTGAATGTAGTAATGAAATTACCTGATTTATTGTCTTTTCATCATGCAAAATGCCAAAAAGCAGAAGGCTAGGACAAAATGGAGATTCATGGTGTCTGCTAAATCTTTCCTTCTTTTTAGAAGTATTCTTTGTCTTGGGTGCCATTTTTTGTGGTCTTGGAAACTGAAGACTCTTTTTCCCCTAAATGACCACTGTCTTCAGTACTACTCTATGGGTGTCCAAGTTGTTTTTTTTAATTTAAATTAATGCCTATAAAAATCATAGCATGGCCATGTAATGCCCTTTTAGCTGTAATTTTGATTTAAAATCACAATGAAGATTTGCTGGATGTTCCTGGCATGTTCTTAAACCAGGCTGAATTCTGGAAGTTGAATTTTTAAAAAAATAATCATTTATTTCTTCCTTTTTTCACTGACCAGACAGTGCTTACAGACAGGCTGTCCTGATGGTAATGTCATCAGAACTTTTGATGGTTTAGTTCTTTTTATTAGCTGACTGATTAACTGAATTATTAAGGAGAAATTTAAGTTGAAGGAATTTTGCTTGTAATTTAAATTCTCTTTTAAAAAGTTGAGGGTAATTTTTAAGAACTCAGTTGTAATGATTTTCTCTAGATGACCATGTATTAAATTGTTAAGTGTATATTCAACTTGTATTTGTTTGTGGAGGGTATGGAGCTTGTATCATATTTCTTAAGTTAACTTGTTTTTTCTTTATGGAATCAGCACAGTTCTAGTTTATATAGCAAGTTAATGATTTAGTAACTGTTTGTTGTAGAGGCATTAAGTACAGGTATAGTGTAGATGCAATAGTAACAAAGGCTACCATAATGCCTTGAAAGCAGTAAAAGAGCTGTATCATTCTGAATGGTAACTAGAACAGCAAAGTGACAGTCCCACATTAAATTGCCAATTACTATAAGCATTATCCCATTGTGGGTGTGCAGTTTAGCTGTTGCATGCATTTAAAGTACTGCAGGGTTGATTGGTTTGGTTTAAACTATGCTAATTCATCTCAGGAGCACTATGCTAAACTCCAAGGTTACATTCTTACCTGGATATATGGTCTCATATTAAAATCCTTCCTTTCATGAAGCAAAGAAGACTCAGCTGCTGTACTCTAATAGCTTGGTATCAGAAAGTAGGGTAATAAACAGCATCAAAAATTTGTTAGATTTAGCAAGAATAATACTAATTTCAAAACACAAAAGTGTGAAATCTGTGACAACACAGATCTGAAAATGTAAACAAAATCTGAAATTTTAAAATGGAGGAACATAATGCTGAAAAAAAATGTAGTTTTTTCTTTTAGAATTTTTCTTACCAGATGGTTGCCCTGTAAGACTGCTTAAGACATGATTGCCATTTTCCATACACCAGTGCTTTCAGTTTGGAGGTTTTATGTTTCTGTGTGTAGCTGGGTGTTTGGCTGTGCTTGCATAAAAACACATAGCAATATGTACCCTGGAGGACTACAACTAGTAAAACAGTATTTGGGAAAATCTGACATATTTCGGGTGTAATGTTTCAGTTGATGCCTTAGATGCAGCCAGAATTGTTACAAGCTGTTAATTGTACCTGATCTTTGCATGCAGGAAATGGAGCAGTCAATGAACATGCTGAATTCCAACCATGAGCTGCCAGATGTGTCCGAATTCATGACAAGACTTTTCTCTTCAAAATCTTCTAGCAAGTCTGGTGGTAGCAGCAGTAAAGCAGGGAAAAGTAGTTCTGGAAAAAGGAGGTAGTTAAGTCTTCCTCCTGAGTCTGAGTTTGCACAACTGTTTGTTATGTGGTGTCATGTTTATTTGTCTTGAAAGATGAAAAAGCCACTACTGTAAACTTTAACCAGGCACAAAATACAGTATGTTACAACTGTGGTTTGTAGCTTCTTTTTTTTTAGTCTGTATAAGCTGGTTTGTCCTTGACAGTAAGCAAAAGAGGACATGGCTTCAATACTGTATCTGTATAAAGTTATTGATGATACTGAATTAACAATATTGTTCTGTAGAGAATTAAATTATGCAATGTGTTTCACAGTAATGAATGTTCTAATGTATAAAAAACTTTCAGCGATAATAGAAGTGGAGTTCAGTCTTCATTAAGATGGCTTTAATGTTTTATACTTGCTGGTGAGTTTTGAAATTAACAAATCCTTTCAAAATTCAGTTGTGTTACTGAGTAAGTAATTTGCTGAATCAGCTTGTCATGTGTTACAGCTAAAATCATTTTATTTTATGCTGTTTGCTTCCTGTACAATTTACAGAATCACAGAATGGGTAAGGTTGTAAGGGACCACAGTGGGTCATCTGGAGCAGCCCCCAGCTCAAGCAGGGGAATGCTAGAGCACACAGCACAGGATTGCACCCAGATGGTTCTGGAATATCTCCATTGAGGGAGAATACACAAGTTCTCTGAGCAATCTTTAGTTCAAAGAATTTACACTTTGGATTGCCCAACTTTATATTCTGATCTACTTTCTGCTAAAAACTCTTTAGGAGGAAAAAAAAAGTATCCTCCATCCGAAAGTCTTATAATCTGTCAAGTTAATCATGAATCAAGGTATCTGTATAAATGATGAATGTTTATCTTGGATCTTTCCTTTCTAAATTGCATATATCACTTCTGTAACACTTTTGCTTCTTACTGTTTTCTGTGCGCTGTTCTTTCATCTTATTAGTTGTATGATTTGAGGCCAAATACAGAATTTTAAGTTATTTTAAAATTAAATCATCTTAAAATGAAAGAAAAAACCTAAAAGCATAGTAGGAAGGTAAATAAATCCCACTTGTCTTCTAAGTTACGTTCCAAAGTATATGGCTGTCTCTAGGTATGCTAAGTCACTGGCAAAACTTTGTTCTTTGAGCATGCCTGTATGTCTGTTACGCAGTAGCTTATCAAGCTACCCAGTAACTTCAGAGAAAAGGTGAAAAATTTGATTGTCTTACACTAAATGAACATTTGCAAATTGAAAGGACAGCAATACCTGCCAAACCCTGTTAGCAACTGTCCATAAATTGTTTTTTTTTAGTATTAATGATGTTCTTTTCCATTTTTAGATTTGCTAACTTCCTAGGAAACAGTATCTATGCAGTGTGAGTAATGTATATCTGATTCCAAAAATAGTATTTTAACATTCATCTACAGTACCCCAAAACAAAATCAATTCTAATGCATTTATTTGTTCTGCCAAATGCTTAGGAGGGCTGTAAATTTTCTTAGAATACATCTTTAGAAGTATGCTGTGAAACATAAAAGCTGTGAAAGAATAAGCACTCATTCATAGGATTAAGTCAACTTTTAAGATGTTAGAGAAGAAATAACCCAATGTTTTTTGTGGACATTGAAAGATTTCAGTCTTTGCAAAGTAAGCTACAGGGTTTTGCTCTTTTTTTTGTTTTGCTTGAATGTTCTTTTTGTTTTGTATACTAAGTAAAATATATTCAATGGAGACAACAGGCTATTTGGATATTCTTGCTGGAAGGATGTGCTGAAATGAGTGTCATACTGCCTTGGTGGGGAAAAAAATTGATACAAAAACAGGGAGCAGAAGATGGAGCAGTTAGCATGCTGTCCTGGAAAGTACAAGTCATAAGTTACTTTAACAGTAATTGGAATGACAAGTTCCAGTAATGTGTTCTAATCACAGTTTGTTGGGTAATTAATCATACTGATGCATTTTTCTGTTACAAAGGTAGGAACAGCAATATTTCTGGCTTCTTTACTTGTGTCTTTTCACATTCTTGATTCGCCTTTAAGAGAGAATAGAGAATTTAGGCCATGAAAAGATGGAAGTCCTTGTTAAGAAATCAGTTTCAGAAAGTTGACAGGAATTGTAAGGATCCTAGTCAGGCTTTGGAAGGAGCATGTGGAGTATTCAACACCTCTTCTTAGAACTTTGGCCCGGGCAAGTTTGTTTGTGCATCAGGATCAGATGCAGTGTACAACTCCCCTGCCTTCCTCAACAGAAAATTCTGCCTCACTCTCAGAAGCCTGTTACCTGAAAAATTCAAGCCCAGAAATCTTGTTACCTATTGTTATTCTGTGAATCTTGTACGTGATTCACCTTCTTTTCAGACACCTTTGTGATAAGGTGATTTGTGGAAGTGTATTGGTCTGCTGCTGAACTAATACTAGTTACAATGGTAATGGGGTTGTTTTGGTTTGTTTTTTTATTATTTTTTATTTTGGAGCCAGAATCTGTGTGTCAAGTGAGTAAAGAAGTTCTAGCCAGAGTGACTAGACTGCTGTTGTGGTTTAACCCTAGCCAGCAGCTCAGCCCCATGCAGACGCTCACTCATTTCCCCAGGGCGGGATGGGGAGAAGAATCAGAAGGGTAAAAGTGAGAACAATTCGGGGCTGAGATAAAGACAGTGTAATGAGGGAAGTAAAATGCACATGCAAGCAAATCGAAACAAGGAATTCATTCACTGCTTCCCATGGCAGGCAGGAGTTCAGCCATCCCCAAGACGACAGGGCTCCATCATACGTAACAGTTACTTAGGAAGAGAAATGGCATCACTCCAAATGTCCCCTTTTCTCTTCCAGCTTTACATTCTGAGCATCACGAGGTGTCCTGCTCATCAGTTCGGGTCAGCTGTCCTGGCTGTGTCCCCTCCTAAGTGAGCCCCCAGCCCCCTCACTGGTGGGGTGGGGTGAGAAGCAGAAAAGGCCTTGACTCTGTGGGAGCACTGTGGAGCAGTAAGGAAAATGTCCCTGTGTTATTAACACTTTCCAGCAGAAGTCCTAAACATGGCCCCATACTAGCCACTGTGAAGGAGATAACCCCAGCCAGCACAGTCAGTTAAAGTTGCAATGTGGTCTTGGGCTGCCACTATGCAAAATTTATTTGATAGCTTTCCTGTTGCAGTTACCATTATAATGCAACATTGTCTTTCTGCAGAAAGTAAACTTTTTGCTATAGCTCAGTTTTATTTTTTTATTTACAGATTCTCAGTAGTCTTTCTTCTGTTAGGTCTGACATCTCCATTTTCACCTAAAGAACATAGCTGCCTTTTAGTGGGGCCACTTGATGCAGACGGTATATTGAAGCAACTGATACCTCAGAACAGAGATTAAAGATTTACAGAATCTTCTTGGACAAGCTGGTTTCCTTATTGCCACAAGGAGGAACACATACTCCATCTGCTTGGAGTGGGTGACTGCTGCCTTTTGACCACAAGTTCTGATACTATTCAGCCTTTTGCATTTGTTGACTTAACAAGAGAAATTGGTCCATCTCTTCTGGATTTCTCTTACCTTTTAGAGAGTTAAATCAGCTCACAGAAGGATCAAAGAAATCCCAGGGCCAGCAGAAAGTACGCACCATAAACATGCAGTCAGAGGCAGAATTGTCTTTCTGACAGTGAGTGTGAGTAATAGAATGAGCTTGCTGCATCTTAAGGATTTGTGACAGAAGAGCTCAGTTAACCTTGTTCTGAATGAGTGCGCAACTGTGTTTGTGACAGGCTATGAAGAGGGGAGAGGAGACATTTTGCTGAAGTCTGTTTCAGCAATTAGTCATTTAAGATTGCCTGTAAGGTGTTCAGAACAGTTTGAAATAACGTTATGAATTACATCATCAAAGATGCTTCCATTCTTCCTATGTAAGGAACAAATTTAATGTATAGTTATCTCACACACTTTTAAACAAATATTTTTATGTTTTTGATAAAATGAGGATGGTAATAGCTCTGTAAATGGAGTGTGTATTGCTTCAGAGACAGGCTGTCTTGTGCTTAAGATTTGTATTTGAAGAAGGCTTAAGAATCAAGCACCTTGGGTTCTGATGCAACTGTTGGACTTTGTGCAAATCATTTATGATTTCTCTTTCAATTTCTTGTGTATGAGGTATGAGAACTTGTCTCATAGAAGTAATTGTTAAGATAAATCGAGTAATGAATATTGGCTACTCAGATAGTATGGCTATGAACTTATTGAAGAAAATCCAGGATGTAATCTTGTTAAAGAGCACCTTTGTTTATCATTTATATGTGTTTATTTATACATATCTGTTAAAGCAATCAATTTAACTAACGATATGCCAAGATTTCTAAAGCAATCTAGGCAATTTAAATACGTATTATTTCCCAACTTAGTGAAACGTCTATTAAATCACTGAGATCCCTTTATACATCTCCACTTGGGTGTTATTGGACCTTTAATTGCATAAAGGTCTTTTGTGATCAGTAGCTCAAAGAAGGCAAAGTTTGATTTACAGTTTAATAAAAGGACCCTTTTTTTTTTACAGGCTAACAGAGCAGTACCTTAAGGCGCTAAAAGGATGTCACTTTCGTGTCTAAGACATTATGTCTGACCTTAGTCCTGCTGCTGTTAGTAGTTAGTGAATTTGTCTTCCTACATTTTTATGTTTCATTTGAAACTTACTTTGTTTAGGAAAATAACCCATATCAAATATAAATAATAACAAATCCTTAGTGTTTTTCACTCCCATGTGTCAAAATGAAATATAGATAGCTATATATAATGCTTATTTAATGAACTGAAGGAGAATAGAAGGGTTTACATCTACTGTTGATGAGCTAAGGAATTGTAAGGGACCTTTAAGAAATGTTTGTTTTGACATTGCCTGGCTTTGATGGCAAGGCATGGTTGATTGCCTCAAAGCTTGCTGAGCCACAGGATGCCTCTGGCCTTGGTAATCCTCAAGGCACAATTGTCAGCAGCTCAAATCCTCCAGCTAACAGATGATCCCCCTCCAGCTGCTGAGATAAGGAGGCACCATTGACCACTACCTACACCCTCTAGCTGCCAAGACCACGAGGCACCATTGTCCCCAGCTGACATCACTTCCAGCTGCCGAAATCACGAAGCTGGGAATTGCTGTGAGCTCACCCTGTAACTCAAGGGGTGCTGACCAATCCGTGCCCTGGCAGAGACCTATAAAAAAGGACCAGCATCCAGAGTGAAGGTGTGCATCCACCACCAATCAAGAGATGACTATGGATCATCAGAATGCTGCTGAATCACTTTCCTATCACCCCTTCTCTCCCCCTTGTGTGACCAGTAATAAAGTCTCACTCCCTAACGGTATGTTAGCCTCATTTGCATCTTAATTCACATGGGGGTGAATCAATCAAACATTCCTGAGTCTTATTGGACCACGACAGGAATACAGAAAGAAATTAAAATTTTGAACTTCAAATCAGTGGAAAAGCAGATTTACGGAAGAAAGTATGTTGAAATGTAAAAAAAAAATAAATTACAGATGCACATTTTGCATGTTCCTGGGCAGGAAAAGCACAAGATGCACCCGTGG